TGCCCAGCTTCCACCATCATTTTGTTTGTCCCAGGTCATTCCAGACTATCTTTGTAGTGTGAGATGCATTTGTTTGTTTGCAGTGAATTTCACTGAATTTGGTACATACAATCATAAATTTTGATTTTGTTTTGATTTGTTTTTAAAAAGGTTAACATTTATGCATAGTTCGATTTAAAAAGATATTTTTCATTTATAATAATTTATTTCTGCTACAAAATATCGCCCATTGTCATTGTAAGTTCTTCTAGTATCTCCAACATCTATAGTTTGTAAACCGATAGTAACATTGTAAGTTTGTTTTTGTTATTTTGTATTTTATTATTTTTATTTATATTTATAACTGTTTGTGATAAAGTAACAATAAATATTTAATTTTTTCACTAAACCAAGTTGTTTATTTCTTTTTAAAAAGTTTCTAACCCATTTTTTTATATTTTTTAGGAAAGAAAAGCCTATCTTTCATCCAGCAGGATAATTCTTGTGAGCGGCGTCCTAACTTTAAATAAGAACCCTTAAGAACCTTCTTGTGTACAGGGGATCCATGTAAGTACCACTTTTGTTTCATTTTTGTAATTACCCTATTCCAGTCTCCTTGTCATTCACTTATCTACGACCCATCTCTCCAGAAAACCCTGAGTAGCCGTTCGCAAACGTTTTGGTTTGTTCTGCTTACTCTATCTCCAGCCCCGTAATTTCTGTCCCCAAATTTTCTACCCCCTATAATGATCCCAATGTGGTACCAACATAATCGTTAAAATCTAAGCGCAAATATCCTTGATGAACTGATTTCTCGATTTATCCGAGCGAGTATACCAGTCGCTCCAATAAATCCTAGTAAAATGAGATACGTATAAGCGATAAACAAAGCTTCTTCTTCTTCATGTGCCTTGTCCGTTCCGAACGTTGGCAATCAACATGGCTATTCTGATTTTGTTTACGGCAGATCTGAATAGTTCAGCAGATGACAATCCGAACAATTGCCGCAAGTTTTAGAGCCACGAGTGTCTTCTCCTTCCTGGACCCCTTCTGATGTCTATTTTCCCTTGAACGATCAGCTGGAGTACTCTATATTTATTATGTCTCATAACGTGACCCAAGTATTTCAACTTTCTTTTCTTTATACTTATTCCTACCTCTCTCTCTTTACCTATCCGGCGTAGTACCTCTTCGTTGGTCACATAAATAGAGCACTTTAAGTAAAATTTTATAGAAGCTTCTGTACCAGTTGCTCGGATGAATCCTGGTAGGATGAAATACGTAATAGCGAATATACAGAGTTCATCATCATCATTGGCTTTTACAACTCTTCGTGAGTTTTTGCCGCGTTTACTATTGCCTTCCATTGATTCCGATCCTGTGCTATTATTTCCCATGGCCTTACTTCCATCTTTTCCAGGTCTTCCCTGACTGCGTCTTTCCACCTTTTTCTAGGCCTTCCTGTCGATCTTTTACCATCTGGTCTTTACAGAGGTACTCTACGTAAAATAAGATCTCCAGATACTACTCTTACGTCTCAGATTACAAATATAAAACAGCAGAAATCTCTTTAAAGCAAACATCACAAATACAATAAATTATAATTATGTACTGTTTTATGTGTCCTATTTAGGATCATGTACTAAATGTAACAATTTTTATTTGAGTTTAAAATACAACATCTTCTATATTTTACTAGCTGTTTATTAAAAAAATTACGTAAAAAATAATATTTAAATAATATAATACACATACTAATATATGAGAGTTTCTAATGAACGAATGTATTGTTTTGCTTTTAATTTAAAAATTTTTCTTTTCTCTTCTCAGTTCCCATCCAAGCACAATTCTCTATCCATTCCAGTCTTAATCCATAAATTCCACAACGTTATATTAAACCCACCATCTGCTACAATTAATATTCCCAAGTTGAACTCATTTCTCCGACTAAGAATGTAGTATATTAGAGCTATTTGTTATCTCGCAGAGGATTCGTCTCAATAAGATGTCACTGGCGCATCATAAAGGGAACTGGAATGTGACGGATACTTTGTCATTTTATAATGTTGTAAAGCTAATTAAAGTTGAATTGCCTATTAAAAGGTATCTATTTAGGTTTATATTTTATCAACAAATGTGTACAAGGTAATTAATTTTAAGGAAATGACTTGAACAGTTTCTATAATAGTATTATTGATGTTATAAAATAACATAGCTGTGGACCTATGGATATACAGCATGATGTAGTTGAGCAATAAGAGAAACATATTGCTAATTTAAGAACCTATTTTCCTAGTGTATACGTAAATTCGTAGGTACCAATTGACATAAATGCAGTCGTAGATAGAACAAAATCATCACCGCAATAAAAGCAGGATTTTAAAATAGACCTGTAAAAATTTGTTAACTAATTACTGTCCTACCTACACCCCTTGTCAAGTAAAGATCATGAAATATCCTGTAACTATTTCTAAAAGTCAATCAAAAGACTGATATGTTTTTTGTACACACTTATGACAAGTCAAAAGAAAAGGCAAAAAAGTATTTTTGAAGTGTGTATATTTTAATAATTCCTAGCTGAACGCTTTCGGCTTTACAAAGCCATCATCGGAGCTATGCTACAATAAAAAGTAACTAATTGCTGAAGATTTTAATTTTATACTTACGTCAATTTATAAATACCACTACAATGGAGAGATCTCATTTCCTTATTTGTTGAAATTATGATTTTTTTAATTACTTAGTTGTTAAAAATTCTTAAAAAACATACAAAAAACCGACAATGGACTTTACAGACACATTAAAAATTTTTTTCATGGTACGGGTGTAAGAACCCGACCATTGTTTGCTATGAGGAGGTAGACAGAATAGAACTAATGAAATCAAATGTCGGTCCCTTTAAACGATTTTTCAAAAGTGACAGTTGACAAATGTCATGTATAGGAAATAGAGATTGTTTTAAATTCTTACAAAATTATTTAATTTGGAATTACTAATAGTCATCAAAGACTTTCTAAAAATTAAGTTTTTAAGCTTTTAAATTAAATCTTATGTGTTCATCACATCATACAGAATGATATTAGTTTGTAAGTTGACTCAAGTCATTGATCAAAGTCAATGTATGTTCAATCTGACAGTCATCCCTAAGAAACAAGGGTTCAAATCGTTCAATAACAATATAAAGAAGAAACATGGTATTAAAGTTACATGATCTGATATTTAAGTGTATTGAGAATTGTATCTCTTGATGGGAATTTGTAAGAAATTTGCATAAAAATTTTTTTTTAAAGAATATATTTTTCATGTTTTAATTAAGAATAACTTGCCAAATGAACTACAAAATGTTGTAAATTTATAGTGAATTTTTGTTTAAAAATATAAAATTATGAAAAAATGTAATAAGATTGCATGAGGTCACCCTTCTTCCTCTAAAGTCTCCCATAATAATTTAACAAGAGGTTTATAATTGCAATTGAGGTTGATTTGTGTGTTTAAGCAGCAATCAGGGTTTAGTTTCATTTCTTTGGTTATGTCAAGATCTTCCAAGAGATTCATGAGTCTAAAGTTTTTATTGGGAATGTTGTGTAAAATTTTACTGTTTTCAGAGGAGAAAAGGAATGATTATTAAATTTAATGTGATATCCAAAGTTTGATTTTTCTGGGTTATTGAGGTGTTCTTTGATTCTTTGATTCAGAGTTCTCATTGTTCTACCTACATACACTTCATCTAATTTTTATAACGATGCACGCCATCGGCGTCATAGCCTGTGACGTCACATGATACCAACACAAAATATTTAAGGTGTAGGTGTGTTCTTTTTTAGAATCACTTTACCGAGTACACTGGTATTACAGCCACTAGACATATTATATAATATACGAGTAGAAATAATCTTTAAAAATTTCTATTAATGTTAACTTGAAGAAATACACAATAATATGTTTTGATTTCATTTGTATAAATGCATTATAAGGCGTTTTTATCAAGAACATTTGTTCGGAACACACTGTAACTGTAATCGAACGAAGGTAAAATTTTGGCATTAATTGGTAACACTTATTTGACAGTTGAGGTGTTGAAACTTTTTGTACTTCATTATTTTGAATTTTAAAGTGAATATCTCTTGTTTTATATTTTTAACTATTAAATAAAATCTGTTCTTTTTAGAACAAAATTAGTGTGTTTTATTTAAAAAATGTCACGTAAGAATTTAAATAGTCGTTGTAAAGAGATGGTAATACTTTTGCAATAATTATGTAATCTATTTGATTTAAAATGGAGTCAGGATTTTTTTATACTTTGGCAACTATGTCAACTTCGATCTCTGACGTAGATAATGACGTAAGTCGTTATCTAAATTAGATGAAGTGTAAGTCATATTACAGTCACCACAGGACAGCTTGTAAATACCACTTCTGTTTAGTTTGTCAACCCTGTCTTTGGTCTTGCTGAAGATGGACTTGATGTTATATTTGGTTTTAAAGGAGATGTTTAAGTCACTGATTTTATTAACAAGTACTCTTGAAATCTTTTCTGAAATTGGTCCTAAGTAAGATAAGGATCTATATATGGAAGTAGTGTTGGATTTTTTATCAACACTAAAAGCTTGGTTTAGTCTCTTTTTGAGTATAGATTTTCTAATGACTTTATTAACAGTAGTAGAAGGAAAACCATTGTTGTTTGCTATCTGTTTAATGATGGAGATTTCTTTATTGTAATTTTCTTGAGACATAGGGATATTAAGAAGTCTGTGGACATAACATTGAATAGCTGCCATCTTGTTATCAATGTTATGTCCACAGACTTCTTAATATCCCTATGTGAGCCGTATCGCTTAAATCTGGAAAAATATGAAAAAATTAGGGTGTGTAAAAAATTTCGGGCTTGTCAGAAAATAAAGTAGTATATTAACTTTACATTTATACTTAAACATGTAGCACGTACATCTAGCTTTACAAAATTTTATCGTTAAACTAAAATAAATATAAAATTTTGACATACACGTTTTTCAACGTGTATGTCAAGAAGTCGATTTTGTATGTTGTAGTGGAAAACTCTGTAAACACCGTACGTAGAACAAAGCTTTTTCTTCTGGTGTTCTTCTATCGTGGCTTCTACATTGTGACAAAATTTTATCCAAATGTTTATCACTTTGTCCTTGAAGTTTATAAATTTCCCTAATTTTCGTATCCACCAAATCGCCTGTAACAGTCATCAATCCCATCTTTATATGGGTACAAAGATCAAATTGACCTAATTTTATTTCTTCATCTTCAGTTAGCATTCCAAGCTGAGAACGCAAAAACCGATTTGGGACATCAAATTTCTTTTGGCATTCTTGTAAATACATTAAGAATGTAGGCATTATTTTAGATAACTTTTGGGCATTATCCTGTTTAAGACTGTGATGACCCTAAAACAGTAAAAAATTGATACAAATAAAATTTTTATCAAGTTAGGGAAAAATAAACATTTTATTATAGGTTTAAAACTGTTCTAAAAATAGTTTTAAACCTATTTATACTTGACGTGCCAGTAAAACACTTGCAAGTCACGATTTATACAAAGTGACGTCACTTGTATTTAAAATTTCCAGAACATTAACCTTAGAGTTCAAATTTTCCTAAAACAGCTAATAATACGAAACCCATACGGAACTGCTCGATCTTTAATAGGCGTCAACATGGTGTAATAATCAGAAAAATGTAAATTCATTATATTGGAAATTTTAGAATTATATTGATTAAATAACCAAAAACATTTGTTATTATTAATAAGATACATTTTATGCAATAACTCTTTAAGTCTAACATTTCACAAAATAATAATTGTAATTAAATATATTAGACAATTGTACGCAACTGATATGAAAATACTCCCAATTTCATTGACAATTCAGCGCGTGGCAAAAATTTATTAAGTGCTGCCGCTTTTTTAGAGTAGAAATTTTATTTATGTTTTGATTTCTTACACAATTTGGTCATAATATATATTAATAAATTGTATTTATAAATACATTCTAAATTTAGATTAATAGTTTTAAAAACTAATTATTGTTGTGTATTGTGATTGTGATATGCCAAAACAAATAAATAATCTGTAGAAAGCTGATAAGCTTTCATATAAGATAGAATATTTTGAACAAGAAATAATGGCGGGACGTTTTTATTATTAAAGCCATAAAAGAGGTAAATTTAAAATTTAGAATATACAATTTTGTATTAACATTTTTTTCCTATGTATTTTAATATGTTACAGTAGTCTTAAAACTAAGTGTATTTACTGTTAATATAATAGTTTAACAAATATTTGACATTTCAAAAATTCCTCACTTACTAACTATTCTGATGTTTTGGCAACGCTGTGGGGTTCTGACGACGTAAACTATAATACTTTGTGATCGAGCAGTTGCGATGTTAGTTATCATTTCAGCCAATTCGGCTGTTAACTTTCCGATGGTGCTCAAGAAGAGTGGCCGTTTGCGAAATTTGTGTTCTAGGAGCTACGGCTCTTAGAACACAATGTTATAATGTATCATGCCCTGCGGAGCTATGCGTAAAATGACCAAGCCACAGCAGAAAATTATATAAAATGTTATTTGTGGTTCTGTCATATCCTGAAGATCTGTCAGATAATTCAAATTAATCTACATTACTTTTGACTTCGTGTTTGTTTTTGAAAAAATGGATTTTGTAAATTTGTTATTACTCAGTGAAATGGATGATGTGGCAGAAATAAATTATGTTAATGTAGAGCTACGTCAGTTACGGGACACCAGTTTGAGTCAGTTGAAACCCATTTGAAATATATAACCAGCTCTACCTCTTCATAAAGTATTTTAGGTTGTCAAAAAACATTGCTAGTGATATTGTAGATACTTTGCTATCTGTAATTCCTAAAAGGCAAAGGGCTAACTAAATTACAATAGAATTAAAGGTTCTCTCCCTACTTAATTTTGAAGAAAATGTAAGTTACCAAAAATGTAATGGTAACAACTTGTTATTTTCATTGGAACAAAGTACATTTAGAAAAGTATTAACAGAAGTAACTGCACGGATAGTGGAACACTTTGTCCCAAAATGGCGAAGAAGATGAAGTACAGCCTGTACTTCCCTTAAAAATGATTCCTTCGGAGGCAAATCAAAAAATGGTTGGATGTTGAAAGAACAGAGAATAAGAAGAAGTGTTATTGCTGCAAACTTTGTGTAGTTAAACAAAAACTTAGTAATATTATCATAAGTTATTAATTTCTTAATAATAAATAGTCATATAGTTTTATAATTACATATAGTTTAGTAATATAATTTTACAATTTAGTGATATTTCATCATTTTGTAATATTATATATGAGAGTTTATATATTATTTGGTTTCTGTTTGCGGTGCAATATGTCCATTATGTTTAGTAGGTAAATAGCTGCAAACGGCAACGGTTATTCAGTTTCAGTGTAATGTTTGGTGTACGTGATACATGTCTCGTTTGTTTAAATAAGATAATCATTATGAGTAATTTTTTCGTTAGTATTTATAAACAATCAATTAATTTAGAATCAATAAGTTAATGAAAACAAATGCAATGATAGTAAAGTTTGACGAAATTGTGCATAGGTTACTAACCTGAAAAGAAAACGTTTGATATCTTGACGTCATAGATTACTTACTATAAATACGTTTAACGAGGTAAGATATATATATATATATATATATATATATATATATATATATATATATATACAGTGTAGGTAAAATTTTATGGTCGGTATGGTAAAACTTAACAGGATATCTAACACAGATATAAAATCATATTTTCAGCGAATAGACAAAGATAACAATCATATTCCCCCTTGGTCTCCCCTCCATAAATCTTCTTGACGCCCATTTTGCCTGTTAGTGAGACGATTAGTTCCGATCAGAGATATTTTATATATTCTGTGGTTCCGATCCTCATAAAGCTAAGAAACTAGAGGTGGGTCCTTTAGTTTTTTTAATTTTTATCGGAACCGTTTTTCGTAAACTGTAACTAGTTGATTGTTTACCAGTATTCAAATTAGCGAGTATACAAACATATTGGCTATTATCGTTTATGTGTATAAGTATTAAAGTGAAAGAAACTAACGAAGAATATATTTATTATAACTTGAAAAATAAATTAAACAATACAAATAGTACTTACATTTACATGGACTTAAGTCATCTTTATCAGTTTCTTTTTCTTGTACTAGTCAATTTTCAATAGTATAATCTTCTTTTTCTTTTTTTTTTATAGAAGTAACCAGCAACCGAAAATTTAGAGTTTAACACGGTTTAATTAGACTGCTGCCATTTTTCTGGAAACCATAATTAAGAAAACATCGCTTTTAAAATTAGTGAAATTATTATTCAGGGGGTCTAAAAGAAAAAGTAAATTTTGCAGTAACTGATAATGCCTCAAATATGGTCATAGCTATTAAATATGCTTTGGAATGAAAACATTTAAATTGTTTTGCTCATACGTTAAATTTATTGATGGAGGACGCACTTAAATGCTGTCGTGTACAAATAGATAAAATAAAAAGTCTTTTTTTCGACAATTCGGCAAAAAACACATTTCAAAAAAGTACCTTATCTTCAGAAACGCCTTTAAAGTATCAATTACAACATAACAAAGAACCCAAACGGCCAATCCAAGACGTGGAAACTAGGTAGAACTTCACCTATTACATGTTAGAAAGAATGACGGAGTTAGAAGAGGCAATCCGTTCCACATTGGTATCAGTTAATACAGACTTAGACTTAGACCAAATCTAAATAATGAAGACTGGATTATTTTTTCGTAATTGTCCTAAATTTTACGGCCTTTTAAAGAAATAACAAGTACAATGAGTGGCCAAAAATACTTGAATGATAGTTCAGTGATTGTTCTGGTACGCCGCAAAAATCTTGCAATAAAATTTTAGCAAACAGTAACCTTACATCCATAGTTAGTATCCGACATAGTACGGGTTTTTATTACTAATTACGGAATAATTACTAATCTCGGGTTTAGCAAAAAGATTTAGAGGGATAGAATACAGTGGCATATAGTCATTATGTACGTTTATGGATTTACGATTTAAAGTGCAGGGATTTTCTGATAAAAATGACGCTAAAAAAATGAAAGAAAGAGTTAAGAAGCTGGTTACTTCTATAATTAAAGAACAAGAAGATTGTACTATTGAAAATCAACCAGTATAAGAAAAAGAAACCGATAAAGATGACTTAAGTCCATGGTGTATTTTTGATCAATTAATTGGACATGACTCATCTAAACGTACACCTGTAGCGAGAGTCCATTACAATGGTGAAAAAACCATCGCCATGTATCTCCTAACTTAACCACTATATTCATAAAGTATTGTAAATGTGAACACATGTTCAAAATCAGGTTTAATTTTAAATAAAAGAAAAACACAATTAATAAGAAGTAAAGTAAAAAAACTTATGTTTTTAAATGTCAATTTAGACGATTCGTGATTTAATAATAACGTGTAATGTAAACGTAGGTACGATTTACTATTTGTATTGTTTAGTTTAGTTTTCAAGTTATAATAAAATCTTTTATTAGTTTCCTTCACTTCAATAAATATACAGATAAACGATAATAGCCATTATGTTTGTTTATGTAGGTAGTTTCTTACTTGAAACTACTATTAAAAAATCATAGTTACTTGTTTACGAAAATCGGTTTTGCGACGTCAATGACCCACCTCTATTCGTAAATACCTGTTTACCCTTTGATTCGGTGATTTGACCACGCGACACGCCACGTTGGCAAATAGTTTTGTACGAAGCTTTTTTATTTATATGCGGTTTAATATTTTTATTGGAAATAAGGCATAATGTCACTTTAAAATAAGCTTATTTTGATGTTTAGATTTTTAATTCGGAAATCGTTTTTAAAATACCAAACATTAATAAATTTTATTTATATAAAACGATTTCCGAAGTATAAATCAAAATGTTATATTACACTTATTGTAAAGTAAAATTGTGGCATATTCCCAATAAAAAACAATAAGCTGCCATTTAAATCCATTTCGCCCAAATTTCATTATCTTGGAGCATTGTTCAAATGCGAAAAAGACAACAGGTCAAATAAAACCAATAAGTTTGGCAACGTTGAATTTCCCCTTTTTATTATATCCACTCCATATCCACTCATTTATGTTCGGTGATATAAAAGGCGGACACCTAATATATCTCTCTCTTTTTAAACAGTTGTTTCTCACTCCATCTCATGTAAGGTCCATACCGACCATAAACTTTTACCTATACTGTATATATATATATATATATATATATGATAAAAAATCTATAAACAATCCTGCTGTGTGTATTATGCATACAAGATCACCTTGTCAACTGTAAGGGATGTGTAGTATACATGGAACTAGTAGAAAACAGAAATATGTCAAAAAGAGGAAACCAACATCATCAGAGAACAACAAATTAGCTAAACACCACTTTACAAAATCATTAAAGGACATTTCCAAACATGACAATACACCAAACTAACCATGAATCAAAACCTAAAACTAATATAGAACAACAACTAATAACATTTGGCGAGAAGAAACAATGCCAAATAAATAGAAAGAAGGGTTATTGTACCAATACACAAAAAGGAAACAAAAAGCAATGTATTAACTACAGGGGAATAACACTCCTAAACACTACATACAAAATCCTTGCAAACATCCCGATAGAAAGAACCAAAACATATACATAAGAAATCGTTGGAGATTATCAATGCGGATTTAGACCGGGCCGCTCTACTATTGACCAGATATTCACAATAAAACAGATAATGAAAAAATGCTGGGAGTTTGATCCATATTGATCCTGAGCTTCATCAGATGTTCATAGATTTTAAACAAGCATTTGATACAGTATGCAGGGACAGACTGTGGACAGCGATGCAGAAACTTGGCTTTCCAAAAAAACTAGTCAGGTTGATACGGATGTGTATGGAACGGTTACGATGTAAGGTGAGAGTTGGACAGCAATATTCGGAGATATTTGACATAAACAATGGACTAAAACAGGGAGATGCACTTTCACCACAACTCTTCAACTTAGCTCTGGAGCACATAATCAGAAGTGCAAGAATCGGAAAACCTAATACAGTATTTCATTGAGAAGAATCAAACTTACTACTGGCATTTACAGACGATATAGATCTAATAGTAAACACACGATTAAGGATGAAGGAGACTTTATTTTAGGATCACAAGAAATAAACAATAGGATTCAGGCCGGCAACAGATATTTTTTGGCCCTCCAAAACCTTATAAAATCGAAACAACTAACGCAACGTACGAAGATACAGGTCTATAAGACAATCATAAGACCCGTTTTGATGTATGGAAGCGAAACGTGGACAATTACAAAGGCAAACGAAGAGAGACTATGTGTTTGGGAAAGAAAAATTCTAAGGAAGACCTTTGGTCCTATGCTGGATGAAGAATTAGGAAAATATAGGATAAGAACTAACAAAGAGCTCAAAGAACTTTACCCAGACGCCAACATCATAAAAGAAATAAAGTCCAGAAGACTCCAATGGGCAGAACAGCAGACACCTCAGAAGGCATTCTGACGAACGAACAGTAAGACTGGTGTAGGAGGAAGTCCTAACTGGATATAGCAGGAGACCTAAGCACTATGGGCGTGGAGAATTGGATGGAGGTTGCTCAAGACAGAAAACAGTGATGGCATGTTGTCGAGTCCGCTAAAATCCACGAAGGGTGGTAACGCCACGTAATAAAAAAAAACTAATAAGATTTCTAAAAAGGTTCAAAAACATGTTCTCGCAACTCATGTGTCAAAATAGTATGACATTAAACTTAATAACACAAGTTATTAACAAGAGAAATTTTTAAGCATAGTTAGAGTTAGCACATGGAACGCCTTTGAGAAAGTCTGGCACAAAGTTTTGCTTTATAAAGTTAAAATATCACTATCTAGTAACTATTGTCTCATACGCAAATTTAAATGTGAGTTAGATACTGTCTTAATTATACGAAAAATTACTCTTAAAGAGACAAAAAACGATTATAGAGGAAAAAATCTAATTCCTAATATCAGTTTGGGTTTAGAGCAAGCCACTCAACGGTAGATCAGGTGCATAGAAACAGATATAGTAGAAAAAGCTCTTTTAAAATGAGATGCTACTTACCAAAACAATATTCTAAACTACTAGAATCATATATATCCGACAGATACTTTCGAGTCAAATATAAGGAAGCATATTCAAAATTAAGAGAAGTTAAAGCTGAAGTTCTACAAGGAAGTGTCCTGTGGCTAGTGGTATACCTGCTCTATATCAGTGATATTTCATTCTTAGATGTCCATGCTAAGAAGAGGCAGGTCAACTTCCATGTGTAATATTCAGATGCTTTCAGCTTATAATGATCCTCTACCCATAGACTATTTAAAATTTAAAGATATTCTCGAGCTACTACCATTTATAGATCCAATCTATCATGGATTTTACCATTCGCTTAAACACACTCAAACCAGTACCACACAATATACAAGCGACAGTGATGAAAATTTCGACGTGTAAGTTTTAATTTGGTACAAGTAAAGCCATATATTTCCACAGCACTGTTTTCCAATACAAAGAAATTGAC